AATATTTTTCGACACTCCCTCCGGCAAATACGACTTTCCCGTACGCTCCGCAAAAATCGTCCGTTGAAAATCGAACCTTCTGCACGTCGTATCATGAAATACCGTATCCAACATGTTCAGGAAAGAGATTCTCCTCTCGTGTTCTTTTCCCGCACTCTTTAGATTACTATATTAATCCGAATGTGCCATGTTGTTGTCATCGCAGATTTAAATTCATATCATAAAGCATAATTATAAATAGATTCTCTTAACCCATTAATGCGCAAAACCGCATTTTTGCGCACCCAATTTCAAGCTCACAATTCATACAGAAAAATAAAAAGTGACTTCTTCCTAAAAACCTATTTAGGGGGTTTTCGAAGGTGCTCTTTCAGAATCCGGAATCAGTTCTATGATAAATTATCAACAATCTTATTAATTTGTCGTTTTAATAAAAAAATACCCATCTTTTGATGATTAGAAAAAATTCTTTTCTCGATTGTTTTCCTGGTGCGGCCTGTAAAATTTATATAGGTTAAAAGGACAACTTGTAAATAAAATGGCTTTTCACAGTCAGTAGAACATGAATTCCTTAAGCTCCCGAATCACACGACGAGAAGGAAAGATTATTGAAATAATAAACACAGTATTTCTTTTGGCCACAATACATTATTTTCAATAGTTAAAACTTCTTAAAACTAAATACATTCATACGTGATCACAACTACATTCATACAATATTCATACATTATCATATCTGCATTCACACACTATTCACACATATTTATGTATCCGCATTTCAATTGCCAATAAATTTAATTCTTTTCTTTGGCGTAGAGTGACGATTGTAAATTTATGATAGATTTACTATCATAATTCGTTAGAATAATTAATACAATGTAATTGAGCTCAATTAGATTTATGCTTACGTTTATTAACAAAGTCCGCTGGTATTGGTAATACCGTTGTTATTTCTTGTATCACAAACAAATTCTATGACGTAGTGAATGTTGAGGATTCCTTGAGAGCAACGAATTCAAAAGCCTCGACGAAACTAGATACATAACCACCGATGCCAGTCTGGTGTTTCCGAGATGATAAATTCCAGTCTCGTTGCATCACAGAGGTGACAATTTCGGCGTTGACCTCGCCTTGTATCCTGCTTCGGAGACGGCAGCAAGCGCGACGATATGCAGTCACGTCGGCGGGACGGCAGTTCGAACAGAGCGAGCGAGCTATGATGTTCGTTAATTTTATTTAACCCTCGCTCATGCGCAGTGATCCGCAACGAATCTACACACGCACACACACAAATGTGAAAAGGCGCGAGGTTCAAATCGACTCGTTACATTCCTCCCCTGGACTTATGAGGGTTGAGAAGAAGTCCATATAGGCTTGGGTAGACTGACATTCATGATCTGCTTTAGTCAGTATTAAGCGTCGTCTTCCTCAATTCCATGATTCACACATTTCAAATTAAATATAAATTTAGATCATCAATTCTACAATACATACATTTCATTCTCAAATTAAAGTCATTTTCCATATATGATTTTTTTAGATATTCTATGTACATCTTTACAAATAATTCATAAGTATTCGTGGTTTTCGGTTTAGCACATCGTCAAAACAATTATCCTATCTTAAATGTACTCATTCATTCTCCTCACTCATTCCATACCTAAAATCTATCTATACATGTTTTGAAGTTTACATTTTAAATAATCACTAAGATTTTATTTACGTGTTTTAAAATTATATTTCGTCATCATTTGGATCTAAAAAGGTTACGAATCGGATCTATTTTTATACTTTCTCAAGTTAGCGCGATTGTAAGTACCAATAATCGCACTGGAATCTTCAGACTCAGTTATTTCGAATGCATTTTCACTGATTATTTTAGAAATACGATACGGTCCTTCGAATATATCGAAAAACTTCTGCGTGACCTTGTCTAACGCTTTTGATAAATGTCTTACACGTAACATCACTAAGTCACCTATATTAAGTTTTACTTTAGATATTATTTTTTGTTTTTCACAACGTTTTTTGAAACTTTTTTGAATATTCTCTCTAGCAAGAGTTATAATTATTTTATGATCAATTCTCGGTTGCATTGGAAACTCAACCAACTTTTGTATTTCATCTTGTATCGATTTTCCAAAATGTAATTCGTTTGGCGCGAAACCTGTAGTAAAGTGAGTAGTTACATTTAGAAGGTTTTCAATAGTATTTATATGATTCACCCAAGTAGTATGCCTCGTCTTACACAAGGTCCTAAACATTCTACCCAATTCACGCATAACTCTCTCAGTGGGATTAGATTGTGGATGCCTTACACTACTAAACAGGACTTTGACACCTATGTTTTCTAGCGAATCTCTCCATTTATGTGAGGTGAACTGAGTACCATTGTCGCTTAATATTCTCTCGAACTTTCCGCATTCTGGAATGTATTTATTCAAGATTTTATCGAGTGAACTTATTGTGGTAGCTTTTCTCAATGGGTATAAACGTACCAATTTTGAAAACACGTTTAAGACGACAAATACATACTCCATTCCTCCCCTGGCGCGAGGGAGGGGTCCATAATAATCGACTGTGACCAAATCTGAAGGTGAATTTGATGCAACCTGATTATATGGTCCCTCCATCGCGACTGATAAATACTTAACCCTCTGACACAAATCACATGTTAATACAAACTTTTTTATTTGCTTATGCATGAATTTCCAGTAATAAAATCGCTTGATATAAGTTAAGGTTTTAAAAACACCCGGATGGGCTAATTTGTTATGAACGTAGTTTATTATTTTATTTGTTAATGTAATTGGAATAACAATACGATAATAATGACTTTTATTTTCGCGGTGAAATAAGATTTGTTGATATATTTCAAAGTTTTCTGTTTGTTTTTTGTTATTGTTGGCAAGAAGTTTATTCGTGATTGATGTACAATAACTGTCCTGTGATTGCAATTGATTTAAGTTCTTTAACATATGCTTTAAAGACGGTTTTTCCTCATTTACTGCCATAATTACCAAAGGAGAAACTTCATTAATTTGAGAAGGAAAAATAAATGTATTGAGTAAACCAATCATTAATTTTTTATCCGTTTCTCTATGAAATCTTCCCATAGGATTACGACTGAAAAAATCAGCAACTACATTGTCCGTACCCTTACAATAAGATATATCATAACAATATTGTTGCAATAACAGGGACCATCTAATTAAGCGCGAATTATGGTAAACGGTGTTTTGTAAAAATGTCAGACCTTTATGATCAGTTATTATTTCGAACTTGACACCTATCAAATAATACCGAAACTTTGTAACACAATATATAATAGCTAGTAATTCTATTTCGGTAGTAGTATATCGAGTTTCTTCAGATGTTAAGCATCTACTCGCTACCGAAATTATACATTGATTTTCTTCTTGGTCAATTTGATATAATGTGCCGCCTATACCAATCAAGCTACCATCACACTGCAACTTAAATGGGCTATTAGGTATGATGTGACTCAAGCAAACTGCACGAGCGAAATTTTGTTTTAAGGCCTCAAAATTTCTCTCATGCTCATTTGTCCAATGCCAAACCGCATCCCCAGCCAACAAATCTCGAAATGGCGAAATGTAATCACTATGTCGCATAACAAACCTGCGGTAGTAATTACATACACCTAAAAATTGCTGTAAATGTGCTTGATTTTTTGGATGTTCAAACTTAATTATTTCATCAATTCTCTTCGGGTCTGGCTCTATGCCTTTATTCGACAAAATATATCCAAGAAATAAGATTTCATTTTTGAAAAATTCTGATTTTGAAATTTTTATTGTGAAATTATTTTGCAATAGTTTTTGAAAAATTATTTGTAACAACTGAATATGACGTTCAAAAGTGTTAGACGCAATAGCAGTATCATCTACATAGGTTATCAAATTTTTCTCTATATTAGAAAGTTGTAGAGGTATTTTCTTTTCTATTTTTTCTTCGTTATTTTCTTCAACTAAAAATTTAAAATTAATTGGAAGAGAGGTTTGAAGTGAGATGGCAAAAGCTCTAATGAGCGCGCTGCCAGCTGTTTTGATGCCAAAAGGCACGCGAATCCATTGATATGGTCTTGAGTCAAATTTAAATGCGGTTAAAGGTCTTGAGTCTTTGTGTAATTTTACCTGCCAGTAACTATTTCGTAAATCTATTTTTGAAAAATGTTTGCATTCATAAAACTTTTGCATTATTTCTGCTATAACAGGGGGGGATTCCAAATCATCTTCAATGTTATCATTTATTTGTCTTGCATCCAAACAAACCCTTAATGAATCATCTTCCTTAACCACTATACGTAAAGGACTACAGTAAGGACTAATTGAAGGTTCTATTATACCTGCTTCTAACATTTCATTAATAACCCTACGTACCGGTTCCTGTAAGGCTGATGGTACGGGATACGAGCGATTAATTTTTGGATTATTATTTTTCAATACCAATTTATGCTCATAACCCAGTGCACATCCCGTTTTATTCTCAAATAATTTTTTATATTTAATTAAAAGATCATGAAAAATTTGTTTCTCCCCGTCACTTAGATTTTCAGTTGAAAACGCAATTGAGTAAAGTTGATCATCAAGACTTTTTTCATTTTCTTTTTCTTTATGCATTACTCTTGTATTCATGTTATTCATATATATGCGATTAATATTAACACAATTATTATAAGTATCTAATAACTCAATATCTAGATCCATAAGATCATTGTAAACATCAGACAAATTGTCAATATATTCTATATTATTTTTCCTAATAATATTTTCCGTTGGATTTTGATTAATTTCACAATTGTTCATATTTATACCATTATTTTTATTTCTCTCAACGGTTCTTAAATCCTGATAATCATTCAGTTCATTATTTTGCGTTTCGCATATATTATCAATTTTAATATTTTCATTTTTAATTATATGAATACAAGTTACTTTTTCTTTATTTCTTATTATTAATCTTTCTAAATCTCCACTCTCAAACAAAACCAAATGAGTAGGGATCACTTCATCTTTCAATCTCAATTGAGTCTTCCAATAATCTATGATCATACCAAATTTCAAGTTGAAATCATTTCCCAGAATTATATCTGTCGACAAAAAGGGCACCACTAAGAAATAAAACGACAATATTTTTGTATTAATTTTTAAATCTAATGCTACTTGTCTTTTAACTGTTGTAGATTTTTTTCCTATAGCTGTTGATACTATTACGTTTGCTACTGGTAATTCTAATATGCGTATTGTATTTTTTATTTTGTTATAAAAGTTTTCTGATATTGCTGTTATTTGACTACCACTATCCACAAGACTCCACACCTTATATTTGTCAACTTCAAGTAAAACTCTGGGGGATGAAGGTATTTTATTTATTTCTGACTGTGTGTGACTCTCACTATTTATTACGTCATGAGATAAATCTCTAATTACGTCATAATATTGACGCACTGATGAGCCATAATTCAATGCGTCATTTTTCAGTTTAAATTATTAAAGTTTGAATTGTTTTGTTGGCTATCATCAATAATTGTACCATTTGAATGAGACCTATTATTTATGTTTGGAGGTGGAATCGTTAAATCAGGCAATTGAAATTTGTTTTGACTAAAATTTTGAGAAGGTTTATTATTTGAATAACGTCTACTGTTATGATATCGTTGGGGATTATAATTATTTCGTACTCTATTAAATCTACCTCGACCTCTATTAGTATAAGTATTTATTTGCCCGATTTGAGCTTGTGTATTGTTATGATTACTATGTGAATTGTATTTATTTTCAAAATTTCTTTTATTTTCTGCGAATAGAAGATCTAAATTTGTTAAAGTTTTAACAATCAAATCACTCTGGTTACAATCTATTGAAGCCAACGCAAGTTTTGCTGATTTAGGTAACTGTTGAATAATTGAATAATTTTTTTCGTAAATTGACATAGTTGGTCTAATAAAATTTGCTTTTCTCAACTGAGAATAATAAAATGATTGTAAGTTCTCATGATTTTGAGGGCTAAATTTCCCTTGCAACCACCGATTCTTAGTTTTAACTTGTACTTCTACTGTGTAAAAATTTTCCATGAAGGCAACTTTAAATTGATCATAATTCTCAAATGGATTTTGTAATTCCATCCATGCTCTAACTTTATTTTTAAGTAACATAGTAACCACGTGTAGCTTTCTCTCACATTGAATTTGTTTTAAACGGAAATATCTCTCCACTTCATCTAAAAATTCCAGAGGATTTGCACTATTTTCATCAGAAAATGACGGGACCGTTATATCAATTTGATTTACTTGTACGTTTCCGATCAATGATAGAAAGTCATTTACGAAATTTCGCTGTACGGCAACCGACTCTACCTGGATATTATTTTGTTGAGGTTGAACACTTTCTTGAACTTGGCGTAGTTGTTCTCTTGATTGTTGTAATTCTTCCTGAAGTTTGTTGCCATTATTCGTTTGCTCATTCAATTGTTGAGTGAGTCGCCGTATTTCAGCTTCTTGCCTCTCTAGATCCGCCTGATGACGTCTCGCCTCATTTCTCGGATCGTCAGGAATGACATTCATGTTGTTGTTTCGTGACCTCGTACTCGTACCAAACAAATTAGTAACGATTTTGTGTGATGTTCTTCCTGATCTCGTCACGTAAGTCGAGGACTCATTGGAATTAGCCATGCATTTTTTAATTTAGGAGTTAGGTTGCCGCGTGGTCGGGCGCCAATGTAAAATTTATATAGGTTAAAAGGACAACTTGTAAATAAAATGGCTTTTCACAGTCAGTAGAACATGAATTCCTTAAGCTCCCGAATCACACGACGAGAAGGAAAGATTATTGAAATAATAAACACAGTATTTCTTTTGGCCACAATACATTATTTTCAATAGTTAAAACTTCTTAAAACTAAATACATTCATACGTGATCACAACTACATTCATACAATATTCATACATTATCATATCTGCATTCACACACTATTCACACATATTTATGTATCCGCATTTCAATTGCCAATAAATTTAATTCTTTTCTTTGGCGTAGAGTGACGATTGTAAATTTATGATAGATTTACTATCATAATTCGTTAGAATAATTAATACAATGTAATTGAGCTCAATTAGATTTATGCTTACGTTTATTAACAAAGTCCGCTGGTATTGGTAATACCGTTGTTATTTCTTGTATCACAAACAAATTCTATGACGTAGTGAATGTTGAGGATTCCTTGAGAGCAACGAATTCAAAAGCCTCGACGAAACTAGATACATAACCACCGATGCCAGTCTGGTGTTTCCGAGATGATAAATTCCAGTCTCGTTGCATCACAGAGGTGACAATTTCGGCGTTGACCTCGCCTTGTATCCTGCTTCGGAGACGGCAGCAAGCGCGACGATATGCAGTCACGTCGGCGGGACGGCAGTTCGAACAGAGCGAGCGAGCTATGATGTTCGTTAATTTTATTTAACCCTCGCTCATGCGCAGTGATCCGCAACGAATCTACACACGCACACACACAAATGTGAAAAGGCGCGAGGTTCAAATCGACTCGTTACAGGCCTGTTCAAGCCAATATTTTATCAACAGGAATCACGGTCCCGATGTTTGAGCTTTTAGAAACCATCCGGGGAAAATTTTTTTTCTGCCAGCATTTTTATAAAATGGTGGTTTTTCAAGATAGTGTTTTACGAATGTGTATAATTATTTTACTCAAAAAGAATCAACTTTACAAAAAAACTTAATACTACAAAAAACACTTCAAATTATTATTATATTAGAATCATGCATAGAATACATCAGAAGTAGTTGACATGTATTTTTTATTACTTTTCTGTGACTACTATTGAAAATGAAAGATCTTAAACTTCAAAAACGCGTATCTCTCAATTTTTTCGTATTCATTCACATGAGTTATGCTTGGAGAAAGAGTAAAATACTGTCGCGTTCTCGAATGACACGACAAACACCATTTTATTACGTGTAGCGTATTAAGACGATATGGGTTAGGCTTGTTAAAATATAAGAATACATATTGCGTCATCTATAATAATTAATGGTATTTTTTTTATTCTCTTTAGGACAGTTATCCGATATCAGAAGATATAGATGACTTTACAAATAGTAGTGATGAAGAAGACGATTTCAATAATCTGTCCATCAATGACGATAAAATCGAAAAGCGAAGATTTGCAAAATTAGATGACATTATACGAAATGAAGAATACAATATAGTCGAACCTTTACAAATAGGCGTTAGTAGACTAGAAATGATTTTGTCTGTAATGAAGTATGCTAAAAAATATCATATCCCGACTACGGGAATAGTAGATTTGTTTGAAATGCAAAATATATTTCTTAACAAGGTAATTTTTCCTGAGAATCGATATCAAGTCGATAGTCTATTCAATCCAGAAGGTGGTATTGATTATCACGCTGTATGTCCAATATGTAATGTATACATTGGGAAATTTGGTAAGAAACAGCGGACAATATTTTGTGAAGTTTGCGATGAAGACGTAAACTTGAAAGATCCATCGTATACTAATTATTTTGTTATTATCGATGTCGTAAATAACATAAGAAATCTGATCGAAGCCAATTCTGATTACTATATTCAAGTTGTATCCCGACGTAACAAAGAGCCTACAGTTAATTTTAGAGATATTTCCGATGGTCAAAAATACAAAAAATTTGTAGCATCGTTGCCAGTCGATCGTAAAGAGGCTTATATCAGTATTACATTTAATAGCGATGGATCTCCAACTTTTAAAAGTTCAAAATTCTCAATATGGCCAATACAACTTGTTGTGAATGAAGTACCAGAAAATGTTCGTTCTTCAAAAAGCATAACTTGTGCGTTGTGGTTTGGACGTGATAAGCCTAACATGACATATTTTTTACGTCCCTTCGTTGATTACATCAACAAACTTACAGAAGGTGGTATACGATGTCAACTGCAAAATACGGGTCAATTGAAAAATCTATATCTTTACGTATTATATTGTTGTGTAGATTCTGTTGCGCGAGCACCTATGCAAGGTACAGTTCAATTCAATGGCTATTATGGCTGCAATTGGTGTTTGCACCCAGGTGTTCGTATTCGGCATGATACTGGGTACGCTATGAAGTATCCTATACTGGATGAATATCCTGAAAGAAGAACAGCAAGTGCCACAATTGAACTCATGCAAAGATCAGTTGAATTCAATGCTCCGGTTCTTGGTATCAAAAATGTAAGTTGTTTGTTACTTGCGAACAGTTTCGACATCATTGATGGGTTTGTTCCAGACCCGCTGCACTGCGTTAATAAAGGTATAAGTTGCCAATTTTGTAACTATTGGGTGGCTTCATCTGGTAAACCATACTCGATTCCGAAAAATAGAATTAAAGTAATTGATCGATACATCGAAAACTTTAAAGTGCCTACGCAACTTGTACGATTATCACGTTCGATAAATGAACGAGCTTATTGGAAAGCGTCAGAATGGTCGAATTGGACCCTTTTTTATAGTCTACCAATATTGAAGTATTTATCACGTGACATTCCTGAATTTGAAGTTTATATGAATCACTGGTCTCTCTTAGTAGAAGCATATTATATATTACTAAGAAATGGATCAAATATCACAGAGTTAAGGAGAGCAGATTTATTGCTAAAAAAATTTGTTTTCAATGTGCAGCTTCTGTATGGAAAAGACGCAATGTCATTCAACGTTCATCAACTGCTACATTTAACTCAAAGTGTTGCCGACTGGGGCCCGTTGTATGCGCATAGTAGTTATGTATTTGAATCAGGTAATGGCAAATTAAAACGAACTATATATGCTGCCAAAGGTGTATTGAGCCAGGTGTGTCGGCATGTAAATTTTGAAGAGAGTATAATGATATTACAAAAACATGTTGAAAGTATTGAAGATTCAGCGTGTTTAGAGTATGTAAATTATTTAGAAAACGGGTTTGTCCAAAAAACTTTAAAATTCAATTACAGATATTTTGGTAGGACACTTGTGAATAAAGATGGTATTGAACAGTTTCAATTACCATCGAATAGAATAAGGGCATACAGGAAAATGGTTAAAGATGGATGTTTATTTAAGTCAAATGAAAAATTGTTATACAGATCAGATAATGCCTTTGCAATACTAAAAGATGGCAGTTTTATACAGATTAAGCAGTTTCTCATAAATATTGAGGACGGCAAAGAGTACACAACATATAGAAAAATAGAAATCAATAATGATCCAATAAGTGATGAGTTGAACTGCATAAAAAAAGTCATTGGAATTAACTTGAGTCTTAATATAACAGAAACTCAGAATATTGATAAACTATGTGTTTATTTAAGTATTGATTGCGATGATTACATTTTATCTGTTCCTAATATGTATTGGAAATAAAAAATTAATTGGTAGCATTTCAATTTGTATCAGAAGGATTCTATACATATTACTTTGATCACCGTACATTGAGCTCCATATAACCTACTTTCTTCCTTACAGGCTATATTATTCTATCCTAAGTTGCGTTAGTGTCGAGTATCTCGCACACTTCATAAAGAATAAAGTCTTGTATAAAAAAATGTTAATGAAAATTTTATTGTTGTTAATCATGAAAACTTCTAAAAGTCACGAAAAATCAACCTCATTTTTATATATCACTTTTCAATTCATGTAGAATTACCAGGAAACATCCGGATTTTCGGGAAAATCCATGCGGAATAATCAGTAAATCATTCTAGATTTTCCCCAAATTCCATGCGACATGACCAGATATTCCATCTGGATTGTCTCAAAAATCCATATGTCACCATGGAAATCTATCTGGATTTTCTCAAAAATCCATATGTAATCAACGTGGAAATCTATCTGGATTCTCTCAAAAATCCATATGGAATCAACGTAGAAATCCATCTGGATTTTCTCAAAAATCCTTATGGAGTCAACGTAGAAATCCATCTGGATTTTCTCAAAAATCCATATGGAATCAACGTGGAAATCCATCTGGATTTTCTCAAAAATCCTTATGGAGTCAACGTAGAAATCCATCTGGATTTTTGAGAAAATCCAGATGGAATCAAAGTGGAAATCCAGCGTGGAATTCCACGCAAAATCCATGCGGAATAATCAGTAAATCATTCTAGATTTTCCCCAAATTCCATGCGACATGACCAGATATTCCATCTGGATTGTCTCAAAAATCCATATGTCACCATGGAAATCCATCTGGATTTTCTCAAAAATCCATATGTAATCAACGTGGAAATCCATCTGGATTTTCTCAAAAATCCATATGGAGTCAACGTAGAAATCCATCTGGATTTTCTCAAAAATCCATATGGAGTCAACGTAGAAATCCATCTGATATTCTCTCAAAAATCCATATGGAATCAACGTAGAAATCCATCTGGATTTTCTCAAAAATCCTTATGGAGTCAACGTAGAAATCCATCTGGATTTTCTCAAAAATCCATATCGAATCAACGTGGAAATCCATCTGGATTTTCTCAAAAATCCATATGGAGTCAACGTAGAAATCCATCTGGATTCTCTCAAAAATCCATATGGAATCAACGTAGAAATCCATCTGGATTTTTGAGAAAATCCAGATGGAATCAAAGTGGAAATCCAGCGTGGAATTCCACGCAAAATCCATGTGGAATCCACACGAATTCACATGGAAATCCAGCTGA